GCTCCTTAGAAGCTAGGATGGCGAGACTTCATCTCTCATACTTTGGACATGTTATCAAGGGACCAGTCCTTGGAGAAGGATATCATACTTGGTAAAGTGGAGGGTCAGCAAGATAGATTGGCACAGTGACAGCATCAATGGGCTCAAGCGTAACAACCACAGTGAGGATGGTGGCAGGACCAGGCAGTATTTTGTTCTAGTGTGCACAGTCCCCTGTTCAGCTCTGAGCCCCATTCGACGACACTAAACAAGATCAGAAAGATGGCTATTAGGACTTAGCCATCAGCACGAGATCACTTCCCCTTCCTGCCCCATCAGCTAGTCCACTCTCAGGAGGGAGCGCGGAGGCTCCATAGGATAAGCGTTGGACTGCGAACCACAAAACCCACGGTTCGAGCCTGCCAACTGCTCCGTGGGAGAAAGATGAGGTTTCCGTTCCCACAAAAATTTAAAACAAACAAACAAACAAACAAACAAAAAAACCGCCTCGGAAACCTTGTACAGGGTCGCTATGAGTCGGAACTGTCTCGAAGGCACTAACAACAACAACCCACACCCAACCTCAATGTTGCCCGGGAGACCAGGACCTGCCCTAACAACAGTTGCTAAGGGGCGGTAACTTAGAATCAGTTCCTGATACCAAAGCTCCCAAGGTCGAGTGCTTGGAGCGCATGCGGCCACCTTCCATCAGTTCTCGCGAGGTTTCGTCTTTCCGGAAACGGTGGAGGACGTTCCCTGTTAACGGGTCGTCGCGATGTGTGGGGACTGTGTGGAGAAGGAATACCCCAACCGGGTGAGCGAGTGGGCGTCGAGATTTTCCCGCTGCATTGGTCCGTAGTTGGCCCCGCACTCAGCCGTACTGGCCAGTGACCCGGGAGCTTCCTTTCCTGTAGTCTTTGGACTTTCGGGACGGCCTGTGGCCCTCTTCTCGCTGGTCCCCGCCCTAGTGACTGGTTTCATCTCGGACCTCCTTCTTTTGAGCCCCAAGAGACAACCTAGAGACACCCCACTCCCCGTTTCATTCGCGAGCTCGCTCTGATTTCTTACCGAGTTCTTGGTGCTGTAAGGGACTTCATATGCTCTGTTTTTAATTAACTTAATTTTGCGGATGAAGAAACACTCTCACAGGAAGAGAAATGACTCGCGTAATTGATTAAGTTCACTTTCTAAGGCGCTCTGGTTACGAGTGGGGCTGCTAACCTTAAAGTCGACAGTTGGAAGCTAACAGCAGGTCCAAGGGAGAAAGATGAGGCTTTCTGCTCTCGTAAAGATTTACAGCCTCGGAAACCTTGTACAAGGTCGCTAGGTGTCCGAACCGACTCCACAGCACATAACCACCACCAAGTTCCCATAATAAGAAACTCAGGTTCCCTGGTGTTGCTACACCCAGCAGTCCGTCTTTTAAATTTTTATATACTTTTTAGACTCAGGAGGCTTCTCAGTCACTGTGTACTTTTCCGAGCATTTTTCCGTGTGTAGCTAGATCGCTTCACTCGGCCAGAAAGGCACTTCAAAGGAGCAAACAAAAGAGAAAGCGGTGTCTGCCCAGCCTAAGAGTTTACAGTTTAGGGAAAGTGTGTGATTAATCAAAAATGAATAGCAATAGAGGAGAGCAGCCGCAGGTGGCACTGTTGTCTGCAGAATGGCAGGTGTGGACTTCCATTGGGACTTGAATATTTGTGATTAGGCTACAAAAGGAAAGGATGTATCAAGCCCACCCTCACCCCCCACTCGCCAATAAAAAAAAAAAAGAAAGAAAACCGAAGAACAACGTGGGCAAGTCTTGGAGGAAGCCCTGAAGGCACAGCGGGTTAAGCATTAGTCAGATAAATGGAAGGTCCAAGGTTGGAATCCATCAGCCACTCCACTAGAGAAAGAAGAGGCTGTGAGCTTCCATAAAGATAGTTGTTAGGTGCTGTGAAGTGATTCCAACCACTAGTGACCCTGTATAGTATTTCTAGTGAGCGGCTGATGGGTTTAAACCACCAACTTTGTGGTTAGTACTCTAGTGTTTATCTTACTGTGCCACACCAGGACTCCATGAAAATTGTTGTTGTGATGTGCCATGGAGTCGGTTCCGACTCATAGCGACCCTATACAGGGTTTCTGAGGCTGTAAATCTTTACCAGAGCAGAAAGCCTCATCTTTCTCCCGCGAGACAGCTGGTAGTTTCAAACTGCTGACCTTGAGGTCCACAGCCTGATTCGTAACCACTATGCTACCAGAGCTCCTTCCATGCCCCGGAAACCCTATAAGGCAGTTCTACTCTGTCCTCTAGATCACGATCAGTCAGCATGACTTCATAGCAGTGGGTTTAGTGGGGCCAGTACCCTTGATTCCAACTCAGTGACCCTTATAATCAGAGTAGAGCGGCCCCACAGGCGTTTCCAAAGTTGTAAATGTTTACGGAAGCCACCAGAGCTCTAAGAACGTGCCAAGGATATGGAAGATGACAACAAGGATTCTTGCATTGGTTGGGAGGTGTAAAATCTCTAGTTGCTTCTATTTCTTCAATGTTTGTGAGCAATAATAAGTCTTTTGGGAAGGATATAATAGCGTGAACTCTCATATAGTATATAGCCACCTTAGAAAAACGTGTAGCGGTACCATGTGAAGTTAAAGATGTGCATACTCACTGACCCAGGAGTTACCCTTAGTAATGCATGGGCATCTGCTCCTGCAGACTTGTGTGAACGTGTTCAAAAGGTATTAGCAGCAGTTGTGTCTGGAAAAGTTAAGTGATACATTCATACGATGGAAGACTGAATGAGCATGAAAAGGAATTAGAGCATGGCTCTCAACTGTGGGTGATATTGCCTTCTAGGGGGCCATCTGGCCATGTCTGGAGACATTTTTGATTGTCACAACTCTGGAGAAGTACTTCTAGCATCTAGTGAGTAGAAGTTAAGGATGCTGCTAAAGATTCTACATTGTATAGGGCATCTCCTCACCCCCACTTCCACCAACAAAATTAGCTATCCCAAAATAGTTCCATGGTTGAGAAACCGTAAGTTAGAACAGTGAAAATGAACCTAGAGTTACATAGCAACCTGAATATGCCTTACAAATACACTGTTGATGAAAGAATGCATAAAGTACAATTCAAACTAGGCAAAACAAAAATATGTTATTTAAAGATATGTATGCACAAGTGCAAAACCAATGTTCTCCCATGTAAACTATCACTCAATTCATAATAAAAGCTTTAAAATATATATGTATACATTTATAGATGTTGCTGTTGTTATGTGCCGTGGAGTCAGTTCCGAGCCATAGCGACCCTGAACAGGGTTTCTGAGGCTGTAAATCTTTACGGGAGCAGAAAGCCTCATCTTTCTCCCGCGGAGCAGCTGGTAGTTTCAAATTGCTAACCTTATCTAAGGAGCTCTGGTAGCGTAGTGGTTACGAATCGGGCTGCGAACTGCAAGGTCAGCAGTTTGAAACTACCAGCTGCTCCGTGGGAGAAAGATGAGG